CAAATATAATGTGTTCCCTAGCTACACTGGATGATTGGGGATGAGGTAATTGGAAATGTCATTTTAAAACTACAGAAAAAGGACTTGCTGCCAGAGGGCTGGATTATTACTCAGAGGCATCAAGATGTAACTTCCTTTATAGTCTTGGCTAGCTACAGTGTTGTACATTGGATACAAATAGCTACAGGCAGCCAGTGTCAGAGTGCAGGTTGGACCAGACAGATTTAGGCAGAATTTAGGGAGGTTAAATCCCAGGTGAGAGCATCGTCCTGAATGAGCTGTACAGTAGCAGCTGTGTGAAGGGCTTTGGCAGCACAGATTCTGTCCAGATGGAAAACTAGAGTGCATACAGTTAGTGCCAAGAGTAAGCCTCATCTGATGGAGAGATGTTCAGTTATTCAACTATTAACCTGTTTAGCCCGAGAAACCCCGGTACCGGGGCTCTCCCGCAACATCTTGCAGGAAACAGTGTCTGAGGGCATGTTCATTTAATAAACTATGAATGTTTTATATCCATGTAACGGGAAGAAACTGATCATTTTTTTTTTTTTTTCAAAATAAAACCCACAATGCTAACGCTGAGCCTCTGAATTAGCAACGAGCGAAAAATGCTAACAGATTACTGCACCGAAAATCACTCATAAAACCTTATTATTTATCTTTTCTGCACATCCAACACATCGATTCACATCGTGAGGTGTAGGGCTGTGCAATTAATCGTATTTTAATCGCAATTACGATTTTGGCCTGCCACAATTACGAAAACAACATAATCGAATAAAACAATTATTTTACTTTGCTAGGTTGTGACAGTGCACTGCAACATATTTGATCTAATTAATTTTGGTCTAATTTATTTGTATTTATCATATTTATATATGATTAGTAGCTTTTGGAAGTGCGCTCCAAAATATTTGTTGATCTTGTTTATTGGTATTTATTATTTTGATATTATTTATTTAAAGTTTTTCAGTTGAATTATACGTTCAGGGTAATCAACAGTTATAAGATACTGTTCAAATTATTATTTGTATTTGTTTTAAAGTTCAATAAATGGATGTTTTCAAAGTCAATGAATAATCGTATTTAATAATCGTGATATCAATTATTGACCAAAATAATCGTGATTCTGATTTTTGCCATAATCGCACAGCCCTAGTGAGGTGACACAGAATCATCGATGCATTATCACTCTATGATACGAACTCGCGACTTTATAAACAAAAACAGACATCAAAACATGTGGCGCTAGGTAGCTAAAAACGCTAACATGGCTTACCTGTGTCTGGTCAAAAGTGGTCTTCAATGGCATTAAAACGATAAAAACGCTGCTGAAGTTAATCCATAGGTTAATCCAATGTGTCTGTGTCCCTTTGAAAGGATTTCTGATAATCCATAAGCAATAAAACTGCTTTTCCGTTTCCAGATGTCAGAGCTAGAGTATAGGTTCGCTCTGATGCAAAACTGCATGCGCAAAGCCCCCACCTTTTTTTTTTACCATGTGTGTATGTGGGGAATTCCCCCTTCGATTCTATTGGCTCTAACGGTCAGAAAGAGGTGTCAACCATCAAAATCGACCAAGGGGGACCAGAGATATGGAAAATCCACCCAAATGACCCCAGAAGTGGTTTTTTTTTGCTAAATCTCTCTAAAAAGGTCAAATGTCACTTGTTTTGCATCAATCTTGATATAGAGTGGCGAAGTCCCTCCCACTTACTTCCGGGGTATGGGACCTTATTTCGGAAAAATTATGCATTGAAGTCAATGGGGAGAGAAAACTTATCTTTCGATCCCGTTTGAATTGTGCCATGAATTACACATATGATGTTTGTCAATCTTAAAAAATAATTTCCATGTCAAAAAAGTCACAGTTTGTCGTAAAACTGTTGAAATATAAGACTATGAAAAATACGTAACTAGAAAGACTACAAATCCCAGAGTCGCGTAAGTGATGTCACAATTGTTTACCTCCACCATTCAGATACCTAAGATCAGCGCAATATAGATATAATCTATCTATATGGCGCTGGCTAAGATAAGATAACTTTAACAAGATGCCTGTGTGCTTAGTACCAGGTTGTTATCATACCAGCAATGGGTCTTGCTCGTTCTTTTGCTTCCCGTCTGATGAAACGACCAGGAGTGGCTTGATCAAGTTAGCTACCTAGCTAGTAGCTAGCACGTTAGTTAGCATTACAGCCTTGTCATTTTTATTAGCCTTAACATGAAGTAACATTAAGTAACCCAAAATGTTAAACAGTAAGAGTAGTAGTCATATTTCGTGAACCCTTTGAATAGTACTGTCACCGGTGTGATCATTCTATAATACACCATTTAATTCCGGGGGAGAAATGCTAACGCTAACGTTAGCATCGGCGATCTTTTCTACTTCATGCTATCTGCACAAATGGTTGACATTAAACATTAAAACGACCAGGCAGTTCAGAGAGAATCAAAGGAAGGCAGGCAGGCAGCTTTGCATGACATTCTTCAGGACGTGTTTCATTGTGGTGATAGTCAATCGTTTGTTGACAAGACAGTAGTGACGGCCATCTTGGTGACGTGTGTTGTTGACCAGAGATGTAGTTCATTTAGCGTTTCACACAAACAAATGTGTTACTTCACAGTTTTACGACACATTTTTTTTTTTTTGACTTGCAAAATTATCTTTTAAATTGACAAACATCATATGTGTAATTCGTGGCACAATTCAAACGGGATCGAAAGATAATCTTTCTCTCTCCATTGACTTCAATGCATAACTTTTCCGAAATAAGGTCCCATGGGGCTCAACCGGAAGGGGAGGGACTTCGCCACTCTATAGGGTACTTTTAGTCTACTAACCCATCATCCAAGGGTAGTTTTCACTATAACGGAGCGTCCACACAGCAGCGTTAAAAAGATCTTGGAACGCTTCTGCCCATTCACTTTGAATGGGGTGACGTCACTTTGCCTCACTTTTCGCCGAACTGCATTGTGGGAAGCAGAGCGGAGATTTTCATGATTTTCAGGATTCAAAGTTGAGCAATGTTCAACTTTTGAAGCTGAGGTGGAAGCGTCAGCCAATCAAATCCCGTTTATGCAAATCTGACAGTTCAAGCGCTAGCCAATCAAACCGCATGTATGCTGGGAGAGACATACCGCAGGTCATTTCCTCATATTCCAAAAAATGGAGGAGAAATTAGCGGTAGGGAATCACCCGGTGCTTTATGACCAGTCCCTATTTACCTACCGGGATACAAACCGGAGGAGCCAGGCATGGAGGGAGGTGGCAGAGACAGTGGTAGGTTTTCGCCTGTTTGGGGAGTTTATATCCAGTTTACTTCAGGCTTTTTTGCTTCGTATGTCGGGGGCGGGAGATTCATGTGATTGGTTGTTGGTCGCGTTGCTCGCAAAAAATCCCCAAGCTTCAGATACGCCCACCTCCAAGATTTTTTTAACGCTCCGTAAGTAAAAAATAATTTTTGGATGGACACTATAATTTACAGTTTTTTACTATGTTCAATCTGAATTTTCTTTAAAATAAAAAACATCTATATTGATTCTGACTTTTCTACATCCAACTCACAGGTTTATCATTACTTTGAGAAAAAAGATTATTAATTTAACCCTTTTAGAAGTGAAAGTATAGTCATTTGTTCTGGGAATGTCATTTTCGAGCCTGAGACCTGAAAAACAGGCTCAGGGCTTAACAGGTTAAATGTTCACAATAATAAATCAATTTCTTCACTAACATGGCGGTTGGTTTAAAAAATATGTCTCCAAATATTAACTCAATGTAAGATGAAGTGATTCCAATATATTTTAGTGCCATTTCAAAAGTTATAATTATTACTAGTGATCATTAGCCAGGATAATCATGACATTAACATTTTATTTTATTGTGATGCTGAAGGTCATGTAAATCCAATATTGCCATAATGCATTCCTGCTTTTTCATTTGTAACATTGCCCTCATGACTTATTTCAACCAGAGATACTTAAAGAATACATACCACAGCATAACGGGTATGTCAACATCTGTGAAGGTAGACAATCTTCTGATTAGATACATAATAATATCGTCTACCTAAAATGTTTGTCTCAAAATAGCCAGTAAATAATAAAAAAAAGCACATGTTTATCTGCCAGTGTTCAATATGACATCTTCAAATAAGTGTTTTTTTTCCAACAAACTGACCAAAACACAACAATATTACTTTAACACTGACATCCGATATAGAAGTCAGCATATTCTTCAATTTAGAAACCGGAACTATTGATTATTTGGCTTTTAGTTTTCGAAATAACAGAAAATAGCTGTTATTTAGATTTCTTTAAATAAAATAATTCACTGACAGATGCTGGAGTTTCCTGGCGTGCTTGTGAGCTCTCGTCTGCAACAACTGACAAAATAGACATCCACAACAGTGAGAGTAAGTAAGCTAATAACATTAAGAACCAGGACATTTGAAGAGCGCGGACCTCCATCAAGGGCAAAATACCCTATCTCGCAAGGCTAACAAAATGTTAAATATAATTTCTGTATCTGCTTCAAAATGTCATAGGTTCTTGTCTTTCCTCTGATACATCCTTCTACTGATTTTCATGTAAATCAGGCCACAAACATAAAACATACGCTCCTGCAATAACAGTCATGGCACTGTCATTCATCTCTAAGCATTTCAATGCATGAAGTGGGGGAAAAGTTATTTTACAGAAATGATATATCAGCATCTTGAAGGGTAATATACATGGAGTTACTGCAGGTGGCCCAATCCCATCAACTTTATGCACCCACTATACACTACAGTCACTATGTGCCAAAACGTAACAGTGCAGTCCACTGGCCAGTTCACATCAGAGACAATGTAATTACACCTGATATGGTTAAACTACCTCGTATATTTCCTCACATCATTTATTACTTTTGGGAGAATGCCAAATTGAAATTCCTCCTGGACATTAAAACTAAGATAATCCGACCAAATGACGTGTGAAACAATCTGTGCTTCTTTCAGTGGTGATAGAGAAGGTGGTGCTGAGAGCAGTGACACACACATCTGAGGAGCTGAGTGAATACGTGTATGAGGTGGGGACAGTGTCAACACAACTATTGCTCACTTTTCTAATTGTTCTCTGTTCATATAGTCATGTTTTTACCCTTTCTGGTTCTCTACTTTCTCTACTACATCACCATCCTTCCTCCTTTCCTCTTCCTCCTGCAGACCAGCTGGTCGGACGATTTAGTTTCATCCGTCATCAGAACCCAGCAGGAGGTGACAGAGCTGCTGAGCCAGGTCTGGACTACCACTGACACACACTCTCTGGTTCTTATTTATAATAATCTGAGGCTACAATATTATTCATTTTACAGATTGACCCTATCAAAAGGGCCTCTAGTTTTCTGAATGAAAGAATCCCTCTCTGTTTCTGATTTGTTATAGTAAACCTGTCTTTGGTATACCAATGTGAAGCATTAAGCTATTTATAGAGGTTTCAAGGACAAATAGCTTGGATACATGAGCACAGAATTGCACAATGCACCTAGTTACGTATGTGTTTTTGTTTTCTCTTAGCTCTCAAAAGCATTTCCCGATGACGGAGTGGAGAACTTCCTTCCTAAGTCCAAAGAGCTGGAAACCAGGTGAATTCACTTCCTGTTTATGTCTGCCTTTGTTACGTTTTGGTCTCATCATGGAAAGATGTGTTCCATCGAAGGAAAGGAAAGTGTAACAGCATTCACATGTAAATGTGAATGCCTCTCCGTCTGACTCCCTGTCTCTCTGCCTCTCCGTCTGACTCCCTGTCTCTCTGCCTCTCCGTCTGACTCCCTGTCTCTCTGCCTCTCCGTCTGACTCCCTGTCTCTCTGCCTCTCCGTCTGACTCCCTGTCTCTCTGCCTCTCCGTCTGACTCCCTGTCTCTCTGCCTCTCCGTCTGACTCCCTGTCTCTCTGCCTCTCCGTCTGACTCCCTGTCTCTCTGCCTCTCCGTCTGACTCCCTGTCTCTCTGCCTCTCCGTCTGACTCCCTGTCTCTCTGCCTCTCCGTCTGACTCCCTGTCTCTCTGCCTCTCCGTCTGACTCCCTGTCTCTCTGCCTCTCCGTCTGACTCCCTGTCTCTCTGCCTCTCCGTCTGACTCTCTGTCTCTCTGCCTCTCCGTCTGACTCCCTGTCTCTCTGCCTCTCCGCCTGACTCCCTGTCTCTCTGCCTCTCCGTCTGACTCCCTGTCTCTCTGCCTCTCCGTCTGACTCCCTGTCTCTCTGCCTCTCCGTCTGACTCCCTGTCTCTCTGCCTCTCCGTCTGACTCCCTGTCTCTCTGCCTCTCCGTCTGACTCCCTGTCTCTCTGCCTCTCCGTCTGACTCCCTGTCTCTCTGCCTCTCCGTCTGACTCCCTGTCTCTCTGCCTCTTCGTCTGACTCCCTGTCTCTCTGCCTCTCCGTCTGACTCCCTGTCTCTCTGCCTCTCCGTCTGACTCCCTGTCTCTCTGCCTCTCCGTCTGACTCCCTGTCTCTCTGCCTCTCCGTCTGACTCCCTGTCTCTCTGCCTCTCCGTCTGACTCCCTGTCTCTCTGCCTCTTCGTCTGACTCCCTGTCTCTCTGCCTCTCCGTCTGACTCCCTGTCTCTCTGCCTCTCCGTCTGACTCCCTGTCTCTCTGCCTCTCCGTCTGACTCCCTGTCTCTCTGCCTCTCCGTCTGACTCCCTGTCTCTCTGCCTCTTCGTCTGACTCCCTGTCTCTCTGCCTCTCCGTCTGACTCTCTGTCTCTCTGCCTCTCCGTCTGACTTCCTGCCTCCCTGTCTGCTCCTCTGACTCCCTGTCTCTGCCTCTCCATCTGACTCCCTGTCTCTCTGCCTCTTCGTCTGACTCCCTGCCTCTCCGTCTGACTCTCTCCCTGCCTCCCTGTCTGTCTGCCTCTCCATCTGACTCCCTGTCTCTCTGCCTCTCCGTCTGACTCCCTGCCTCCCTGTCTGTCTGCCTCTCCGTCTGACTCCCTGTCTCCCTGCCTCCCTGTCTCCCCCTCTGACTCCCTGCCTGCCCCCAGGTGTCTCACAGCGCTGCCCTGCCATGTCCTCCAGCACCACAGCGTCCAGCAGTTCTTCACCTCCACCCGGCCTCTCTCTCCCAACGGTCCTGCCCCTCTTCCTCATGCCCTCCCTCCTCTACCTTCCTGCCTTCCTACGGCTCCTATTGCCCCCACCTGCCCGTTCGCCTCCAGCTCTAGTAAGTCTTTGTTTTTGTCTTGTTGCCAATCATATCTCATGTATTTTTTTTTGTGGAGATGGATTAAAGCTGTGCAAAACAGTTTTTCTTCATAACGATGTAGCTTAGTCTGTAGGGACTTGGCTTGGGAAAACGAAGGTTGCCGGTTCAGACTGGTAGCTTGAGAGGTGCCAGTTTGCCTCCTCCGATGTGTCTTTGAGCAAGGCTCCGAACCCCTGACTGCTCCTCGGTGCAGAAGCCCCTTCGCTCTGCCACCTCTCTGTTAGTGCATGTCTTTAGGTCCTGTTTGTGCATGTGTGTGTGTGTATTGTATGTACACAAATGTTATAACTCAAGATTGAATAACTGAATTTCCCCTCTGGGATAAATAAAGGTGATCCTAATCTTAATATTTATTATCATTATTATTACTATTATTATTAATCTGATTGTCAACTAGTAGCTTTAACACACTGCATCAGACTGTGACATTGTATTTTGTTAGCTTATAGTGAGTGTCAGGGCAAAACTACACTTTCTGCATTCAGTTTTTTATTTGTGCCTTTTATGTTGAGTTCATTCTTGATTTGTTCGATAAAATAATATTTGAAACACTCTTCATTTGTATTTTAGAAGTTTACTGGAAGCAGCAGAAAGACCAAACTAAGTACACTTTAATATCTGTTTATTTATCGCAAGTAGTATCCTTATTGCAGTATTAGACAAAGTATTGAGTAACGCATATTTTCCTCATATCGTGCTGCCCTTGTGTATGTTTGATTGCTTTTCTGTTCTTTTTTTTCCCTTTTTCTTCCAATGTGGAGAATACATATATCAGAAAAGTTCATACTTGTTTAAACTGCAGATTTCATGAATGGCTGAGATTGATTAAGTCTAATAAGTCAGTTTGTATCTAAAGTGGGCAGAGGGGATATAAAACATTAGACAAAGAATGCTAATGAGGGAAGGGACAAGAGATGGAGGATAAAATAATGAATGTCATGTCATGGTTTTGGTGTTAGAGAACAGACAAAAGAGGTGTTTGAAGACACGGCTGTGGGGTGGACAGAAGGTCTTGGCTGGTGGTAGTGAGGAGTTGAGGGAGGTGAGGCTGCAGGCAGGATTTTCACTTTGTGTTTGTAGCTGATGGAGGGAGAGGACGGGTCTATTTTAGTCTGGTGTGGGAATTCAGAGTGGCATGTTTGTGTTGGAAAGCCTGGAGTGTGGTGACTTCATGTTGGTGTGTGTGTTTGATTTTATGAGTGTGACTTCATCCAGGAGAGTATTTCAATCTGTATGTGTGTGGTGTGTGTGTGTGTGTGTGTGTGTGTGTGTGTGTGTGTGTGTGTGTGTGTGTGTGTGTGTGTGTGTGTGTGTGTGTGTGTGTGTGTGTGTGTGTGTGTGTGTGTGTGTGTGTGTGTCTGTGTCTGTGTCTGTGTCTGTGTCTGTGTGTCTGTGTCATAGGAGACCCCAGAGAGCTAAACTAATACAAATATGTCTAACTGTGCAGTAATTTACTGCCACTAACACACGCAGCTCTGTCCCCCATCACAATATCACAGTCCACTACTCACAAGCTGCTGCTATAATATAATTCGTACTCACTTTCGTCACTTCAGTGTTACAGGGTTACAGTGACCTCACAAAACTTGTTTTGCTCTTTAAGTCGCATTCAAGTTATACGCACTGAAACAGCTCGGCGCTGGTGTTGCCGTCATGTTGCTATAGAGAGATCGGTGCTGCCCGACTAGACAGAAGTGCTGCCTTCAGCGTCGCTCGCACACACTTGAACATTTTTTCGCCGGACGCTGCAAATTCAAATTATATCAACTTTTACCTTGTTTAACGCTGACAAGCTAGCAGGGGACATAACAATAGAATCAGGTGAATTCAGCTTTACTTACAGAGCCTTGAGTTAAACACAGCAAGTTTTTTGGCAATCAACTTCAAAGTTGAAATAATTTGAACTTTGAGAGCAGCGTTTGTCGATATTTCGAGCGGTGCACGGGCCGAGGATAGGAGCACAACGGCAACGTCAGGACAGAGCCGTTTTACAGCTTGTCATGTGACGGCAGCCTGAAACACTTTACTTGTAATGATAGTGAAGATTATAAAGGAATGTTGGTTTTCACTCTGTTCCCAGATCTCGACTGTATGGTTCAGTACAGAGGATCCAACAGGTAAGATTATTTATATCTTTATCTTTCTATAGTTCATCATGTGTGCCCCCCCCCTCTGACTGTATGTCCTCTCTCAGGGCGGTGTACAGAGTGGCCAGCGTCCAGCCCGTCGTCAGCACCCACAGCTCCGTGTTGACTCGCCCCTCTCCTCACCTCTCCTCCCTCCCTCCTCCCCTTCCTCCCGCCATTCCACCCCCTCAGCTGTCCTCCCTCGCTCCCCCTGTGCCAGCACTTCCCTCACAGTGCCCCATGACCGGTGGAGGCGATCCCTCCTCACCCCCACATCCCCAGCACAGTCTGTCACACCCGTTCTCTCCTCACCACCTCCACCCACAGAGCAGCAGTCAGTCCAGCGCTCAGTCCCATCAGCCGTCCCATTCCCTGCCAGCGTCCCACTCACATTCCCTCCCGTACCCCCAGTCCCACTCCCTGTCTCGCTCCCTGTCCCACCCACTGCCCCTGTCCCTGTCCCTGTCCCTGCCCAGCACCGCAGAGCAGAACGGCATCCTGGACTGGCTCCGCAGGCTCCGGCTCCATAAATATTACCCTGTGTTCAAACAGCTCACCATGGAGGAGGTGGGTTAGCTTTAGATGCTTTTCCTTCATTTATTTTATTAAGAGATATCTTACTGGAAACAATACAGTCAGTTTTTAAAACTGGAGCTTTTTATTCTCAATAAGCCAGTATGTTTGAGGTTTCTAAATCCTTATATTTTTCCTGTGTTTCCTACAGTTTTTAGCGCTGACGGAGAACGACCTGAACATGTACGACCTCACCCAAGGAGCGAAGAAAAAACTCAAGACCCAACTGGAGCTACAAAAGACTCAACTGGAGATACAAAAGTTAGTAGATTAAGCTGCAGATATCACTTATCACGAATTATATCGGTATATCAAATCACAACTTCTTTTCAGTTATGATTTGGTAATTTAATAAGGGATAATCGACTATTAATAAAATAGTAACAAAAAAGGTTCATGACTCCAATGTCAAACTTAGAAACAACATAGCTTACCTAAAGGAATATGTAGACATTATGGTAAATAGTTGCTTTCTTGCTTTAAAAAAAGTTGAGATGGTAACATTGATACCACTCTCTTGTCTGAAGTATAACGTTTTTGCCGAAAGTTGATCAGGATACAGTATTCTATTTGGTTATGGTAAGATTTAATTAAAAATAAGTGGCAACCCATCAAATACAGATCAACCAGAGCTACAAAAGACTCAACTAAAGATCTTAAAGTCAATTGAGAAACTGCAGATATCACTAATCAGTTAGTTGTGATCTGCTAATAAAGGGGCATTTAAAAAGGAATAATCCACAATGAGTAGTTTAAAAAAGTAATAGAAGCTAATAACATAATCATTTTTCGCAAATGTCTAACAAACAACATAGCCTACTTAAAGGCATACATGGCCAATGTGAGAAATAATTCATCTCTTGCTGCGAGGTAGAGAACAATGATACTCTCACGTATGAGCGCTTTGTTTGAGGTTTATATCAGGAGATGCTTAGCTTTGAAAATAAGGCACTGCCTCTAGCCAATCTGAACACAGTACTCCCAACCCATAATGGATAAATACAATCACTCTAAAATGAACAGCGAAACAGAATGCTACATAAACCTCTGTATAAAGGAGACAGGTTTCACTGTTGACTCTTGATGACCCTTGTTTTTATGGAATTCTAGCAACCAAATATCAGTAAATATCTTAGAGGCAAGGACAGATTCATAAGCATAGTACAAGTTTACCTTTGCTCACTGTTTAAACTTGCACACTGAATTTTGACAGTTTGTATGACTTGTATGAAAGCTCCATGGAAGTGAAGTGTCACTCTCTTAGACACTGCTTAGCATGCATCCTGTCACACTCACATGCTCTGAATCATCTGCCAAGCATCTGGATAAACTCTCAAGAGCAGATTTTAAACTGAGGGCATAAAAACATCACAAATAATTTTTGTCTAGCATATGACAATTGTTATTTTGCCTAGCATATCAACTACCAGTTGAATTTGTTTGTCTACTTGTATTAAAGTTCAGTTAATAAAACATTCCCATAAGGTGGAGTTGCTCCATTCGGTGTGTATGCAAAGCTGATTTACTGGAAGTGATGCTGCTGCTGTCCTCAGACTTGCCCCTTTACTGCACAGATCTGTGGTGAAGTAAGCAGATGGTTGTCCTTTAAATGATTAACAGACCGAGCGATCAGCCCCTGATCTGGACAGTAAATAGCAGCAGTAACGCTCCATACAGCGTCAATGGTTAACCAGCTGTACGATTAGATATACTCAGGAAGAGATAACCACTAGAAACCCATCAGAAAACACGAATGCATGTACTCGCAAGCACGTGCGTCCACATGCTCTGAATACATTGCTTAAACAAACATCTATCCACACACACACACACACACACACACACACACACACACACACACACACACACACACACACACACACACACAGACACAGACACAGACACACACACACACACACACACACACACACACACACACACACACACACACACACACACACACACACACACGACCAGTTCTAGAAAGTTACTACTTGCGTTGTTTACTTGAGTGTTTCCATTTAATGCTACTTTATACTTCTACTCCACTAGAAGGGGAAACAATATTTATCTAGCAGCTTTAGTTACTTTTCAGATCAGACGACATGAAATGAACCTCAGTTCCAGGTTCATATCAGTATTTTGTGCCTCTCCTGTGACATGTCTCTATGCTTTAATGTTCAAAAAGCTCTTTATTTTTCTCATACTGCCTGTGCTGCAGCACCTCTTTTCACCCTCTGTCTGAAACCAGAGCCCAGTCTGCTCTGATTGGTTAGCTGGCCGGATCTGTTGTGATTAGTCAACCGCTTAGTGATGTCCCGCACTTAGCCTATCACGTACAATGTGTTGGAGTGGTAGCCAATAGAAGCACAGTGTTACATAGTGATGTCATTATGTATTCGAAGTGAACACAGGAGTCCAATGGAGGTGTTTCAGGTGGGTGAGTGTATGGGAGAGAAACTCCTGGAACTTTGGGATTATAGCCTTTGCAGACCATTTACATGCACAAAAAACTATATAACACACTAATATAACAGAGGAAAGAATGTCCTAGACATTCATATGTACAGTATGTATGTATGTATGTATATGTACATAAATTAACAGTTACATGGTACTTTACACTGATATAGCAATATATATACGGTAACACTTTATTAAGGTACACAAATTAACCATCAACTAGTTGTTAATTAACATGCATATTAGCAGTATATTGGCTCTTTATTAGTCATTATAAAACACTTAATGCCTTATTCTGCATGACCATATTCTACAAGTAATAGGCCATTAGTTGAGAGTTTTTCCTCAATAACCCTCTAATTAGTGCTTATTTATTGCAAGTAAGGAAGTTGTTGTACATGAGTTTTGGTCTATTATGCTCTGCTCAATATGGGCCTAATAAGGCAGTAGTACCACAAGAATAGTAATTCTCCCATAATAACACTTAACAAATATGATCTCTTCTTATGTAACAAGACATGAAACTATAAGTGTTAATTAAGTCTAAATAACTCAAAATTAGGTATTTCTATCTAAGAATATGTTCCCTATTTTAAAGTGAAGTCTTGTTCATAACCAATAAACTAGTAGTTTGACTCTAATTGACCTGAACAGGTTCCCTATTCTGAAGTTGCCTCCTCTTCACACTTTCTAAATACATTATAGCACACAATTACTGAAATTAACCTCAACAGTACATGAACAAAGTAGGCACACGTTGAAATACCTGTTTTATTAATGAACCACTATAGAGAGGTTCAGACACATCCCAAAACATGCCAAGTTTCTCCAAGGCTGAGAAGACATGCAGTCTGTACTTTTTAATAAAAACAGATTTTTAACAGAGTTTATATATTTGTGATCATACTGTGTGACCTGCTTGTATGTACTTACACAATAGCTGAAAGGTGGTTATTGTGTTTTTGACAAGACTAACAGTGTGTGTAATCATGCCATACATTTGAAAAGTGTTAATACATGTTCAGTACACATTTTACAAAAATGTAAATGTGCAAATATTAATACATTGCAAATATTAAGCATACTATGCTGGTGACCAGCATTGTATGCTGGTATGCTGGTCACCAGCATCCACCTATCACCAGCTTATGTTTAATAATAGTATTTATTAAAACTGCGGTCACAGACGTGCACGCAGTTGTGGGCGGGCCTTCGCGTCCGTGCGCCTGTCGGGGAGGGTCGTCGGTCGTCCCGGCGTCAATTTCTCAAATGTTCGGGTCCCGGGCCGTTTCTCAATCGCGAGGATGCTTGCTTGGTAGCACCAAGCGGCAAACTCTGGGGAAGAGCCGGGACGCCAATACGGAAGTGCCACAAACTGCAGTTCATATATTGGCCGATAGGCGTTGACTGCAGAAAGGAGCAATTTCCATAGACCCCCATGTTAAAATGCCCAATTTCACAGCAGAAAAAAAAACGTTTCTAGCCCTGGATGCAATAAATATTATTATGTATATAGTTAGATTCCACCTTCATGATTATGAATCTGTGAGTGAATTGTTTTCTAACATGACCCTTTTATTTATATTAGGTCTTAAAGTTTTTGCATAAATTAGGGCGTGGTCACATTGAGTGACAGCTCTGTCAAGTGACTGCTGCTGTTAGCTTCTTGTCTCTCTGCTAGCTGCTCCGTCTCCGTGAAGCTACAGGGACTCTGCCTGCTCAGTTCATCCAGGGAACACAACTTGACCCCGGCCGTGTTTGTTTGTTCTTCATGCTTATATATCGGACTATTGTGACCCGCTCTGCGGTTAAAACAGACGGTGCATGAATGCCGTTTTGCGGTAAGTGAAATTCGAGTACTTTATTTATGTGTTTATGATTTCAATCAGCTACGTAATGAATGTTAAGGCTTGGGTTAGCGTGTAAGCGAGTGGTAGCTACATCGGTGCTAACGATGCTAATCTTAGCCTCCAAGTTAACTTAAAACCATAGACTGTATATATGAAGGTTAAAACGAAATAGACAAGTGTTAAGCGTTAAGTGGGATAATACTGTAGAACAAAAGGCTTCTGTTTGAGGTTGATAAAATAAGGTCATCCTTGTAACTTAGAGAGATATTTTATTATGTGGGTAGGAACTGTATGCATCGCTAAGGTTAATTTAAATTGGCTATGCTCAAGTATGTAGACAAGCTAACGTCGAAGTAGTGTATGTGAAATCAACCTCACAATAAGATGTGTGTATATTACAATTATTAATGTCATATTTCAAGATGATTACTTAGATATTACAATATGGTTGGTTGAGCTGGAGTTCATTATTGAGCTTACACGTTAACATCACAGTCATCTGAAGAACGAACCCAAACCTTGTTGTTTTTATTAATTGCATTACCAAATTGGTATCAAATAAACAGTAAGCATTGGTAACACAACTTCCAAAGTTACAGTAAAGTAAAAAGGACCCTGACTCGGACAATACACAATCCAACATGTTCAACAGAAGATAATAAGTTATATTGTTTGTACACATGGTTCTTTACATATATATCTGTTTGTTTAAAGTGTCCAGGTGATGCAGACAGGCTGGACCAGAGAGTGAGAGACAGAACTGGACTCCTCACAGCAGTGAACTTCAGCACAGGTACAAATACTCTTTTTTCATACTGTACAAAGAATCAAGAAAGATATTGGTTTAAATAAATGAAGTATTGACTTTAATACACTGCTATACATTCCATTAAACAATACTAAATACTAGATCACCTACACATCAGTGAAGTTGAGGGTTTTTTCCAT